TCGCGTTTAGTTATTGATTTTTATGAATATTATATGCATGCTGTTTATGTATATCACATGCTACCTAGCAAACACAGAATATAACCGCTATATAACATAGAAGTAACAGCGTAATATACGTAATATAACAGCTGTTATACTCTATTAACATCAATGTTATATGTAACTTTGTTTTATAAATGTAATATAATTACGTTATATATCTATTATTGCTTGTTATTATATATATATATATAGCTGATAATGACATTATAACTTTCATATAACATTTCTGTAACTATATAACAATTATATATTACATTCTACTTACATGTTATATTCATATTATATAACTACAATATACGATAAGTAAGAAATTACAACTAACATGGATGTTACATGCAACGACCATGTTATATTACTTGTTACATTTGTTTTATTACGACGTTGCTGTTATATATCTGTGTTTGCTGGGTATTATATTAGCTCCTCCTATTCCGATGCTACGATGTGAGCGCGCAAAACACCAAGCTGTCATTACGCACGTGGACGCATGCTGATTCGCGGACCTTTATTAATTAACATCTCGTTAATTATTGCGAATCTTGCAAAGTATAGGACTTTTTGACTCAGAATAACCTCTTCTACCTACCTACGAGCGATGTTCCGGCAATTACCAAACACCCTGTACATATTTATATTATTTTAAATGTAATTTAAATTAAATTACTAACAATTTTAATAATTACATGTAATTTAAAAGTAAGATTAATGTAACATTCTCTTATCTAAGTAATTTACAAAAAATTGTTGTAAATTTACAAAATATTTGTAATCTATTAAATTTAATTGTTTTCTTCGATATTTGAGTCTATTTTTTACATTATTGCTGCCATATAACATTCTTATATAGTTTATATGTACAATATCTACAAATCATCACAAGTACTTTGATAGTTGGTAACGTTCGTTCAGAGATATCAGGCTAAGGATTTCTTCACAATAATCTATAAAAAGCATTTCTAAAGTAAAAGATTTAAATGTAAAAGTTTCGACAATGTCATAGCAATGGTATGGCAACGCTTCACTGTTACACCATTATTGTAGCAAAGTAATAAATTTCATTAAGTTTATTTCGTATTGCATTATTTTTGTACTGTATTTACAAAATATTACTAAACTTGTAAAAAAACATTAGTGCATTTAAATATTTACAACAATATATAATTTCTATTTAAATATTATCGACATCTTAAAATTTGGATCAAAAATTGTTTACAGTAATGTACACAACATTAAAATTTATATATTTGAAAATGTTATAAAATAGTATTGTAAGGATATTGTGTTTTACTTACTTATTATTATTAATGGTTTTAGATAAATATACATTTTATAAGTTATATAATAAACTGAAGTCACATTTACATATATTCACATATATTCACATATAATTTACATATACTTATATGTTTATAAATTTTTATAGATCTCTTACATATCTGCATTCTGAACAGTATATGAGTCCGCATCTGTGTCAATTCTTGATATTATGTTTTGAAATATACATATTTCTATCTATTGGCTGCCCATATAAAGATCTCAAATTTGAATTCTAATGCTTCAGAGTTTTTTCTACTAATCTCTTTCAATCAAGTTTATTCATTGAAAGATAAAACTGTGTATCGAGCCTTAAAAAAAAATAAAAACCTTAAATTTTGTTCTCAAACGATCCAAGTCGTGTCAGAGAGTACAGGCCTTGTTCAATCATTGCAATGTGGATGATTTTACTCATTATGAAAATTGTACACCGTTTGTAGAAAAAACAGCACTGCACGATCTTTTTTCTTCCTTCATCTCTCATCTTTCTTTCGTTTTCTCTATTACACACACACGCGCGCGCACACACATGCACACACGCACGCACATACACACACACAAAATTTACTTTTATAGGAATATATGGTGTTCAAGCTTTAACTAAAGAAAATCGAAGTGTATCTATCCACAGATTCGAACTGTAGTCTTAGTACAAATGCGAATTCTTGTACAATTCCTGTTCTATATTTTTACTTTTTCCTTATATATATATTAATGTATTTTATATACTTAAAATTTTTAAGTAACGTTTATAATAAAAATATTTAGACATAAACTTTGTTTTCTCAATAATACTTATTCTCAGATGACAAACATTATAAAAATCCAAAGTATCGGCGATTTTGGATTTTTGTACTTAAAAATTAGTACTATATTATGAAAATTAATATTTTAGAACACTGTGTGAATATTGCAGTAACGATATAGAAATGCCTACAATATATTTTGAAATATATCAACATTAATGCAGAAATATATGGCTGGAAGTGAACATAGTGTGTCTATTGTTCCGATATTCACTGTCAGTACTAAAAATCTATATTTCATGTCACATGTGCTGCATAGATTTTTAGTACTTAGAGTGAATAATGGAACGCAGCCTATATTATAGCAATCTTTCAGGAATATTGTACGCAATAGTTCAATCTTGCGAATTAATATTCTTCCAATGTTTGTACTATAGGAGTCATTGTATAATATCTTTATTTTACAACCAGGACTCATAAACTCATTATTCTCACCTTCTTTATATTCCACATCTTCCACTCTTTGGCAAAAGTTTTGCGCAAAACAAAGATACTACGCATACGCAAAGGTTGCGTAGCTTTGTTCTGACATGTGATTAGCGTGCGAGTGTCAGTAGTACTAACAGTAGTACTTAAGTAATAGCAGTATGTGAACTGAAAGAATAGCTGTCCGTGAGAATATTGAGCATGGAAATAAAAAGAATGTGCTGTAAGAACATTCTAACATTATATTGAGCAGACTACTTTCTTGTTATTTTTCTTCTCTAACAAATTTTTATCTTAAATGATATACAGAGTGTCCCATTTGAAGCGAAACAATGTTATATTTCAAGAACCGATGATTGAATAAAAAAATGTATCTGACAAAAGTTATATAACATTGAAGGGGAAAAATAATAACATTATCAATTTAATTGTAGATGACGCCACTTTCGAGATTTTATTATGACGGCTATTTGTTTAAATAAAAGTCGGTTTTTTTCTTGAAATAAAAGTTGTAACTGACAATGAGATGAATACAGTTTTCTATTTTAGGATTTTTGATCATTTTTCTCTGAGTTACAGCGTTCCAAAAATTACGCACATGCACGAATTGATTTCTATTTTAAAAAATGGCCGTTATAATGAAATCTTGCAAGTGACGCCATATATTATACGAGTAAATTAATAATGTTATCATTTTTCCTCTTCAATGCCAATATAACTTTTGTTTGAAACATTTTTCAATTCAGTTATTGGTTCTTGAAATATATCATTGTTCCACCTCAAATAGGATACCCTGTATATAACATAAATCTACTACAGATTAAAATGACTTTTTGTGATTGGTGATCTGTTAATCTCTGATTTTGTACTTTTTTATATTTCAGCCTTTAAGCTTTGTAACTTAATAAAACATTCATGTAAAAAACTTTAGATTTAAAAAATCATAACTTTAAGCTTTAATAACGTCAACGTAAAAACCATCTTTAAAATTTTATAAGACATTCTAATAAAGAGTGATATAAATAATAAGTGAGCAAGTGTAACAACTAATGTAATTTTAAATTGTCGATTCTATATACAGGATGTCCGACAATTATTTTAACATCTCTTATAAGCAGGTACAAAGAGTAAAACTGAGTCAAAAAGTCTTATATCATTTTGCGAGATTTGCAATAGTTCCCGAGATCTTAATTAACGAAGATTCGCGATTAAATATACATCGGGCTGTCTTACGCGTGTAAGACAGCCTGGCGCGTTTCGCGCGCTCACAGTGTTATTGGTAGCAACGTATGGGAGGATCTCATATAACAGCATATACTACAACATATAAACTGTGTTCTGATATTCACTGCCAGTATTAAAAATCTATACTTCACGTTACATGTGCTATAGATAGTTATGTATTAGCAGTGAATATCGGAACGCAGCCACAGTCTTAAATGAATCATGTAAACTTCCTGTTTCTATCGTCGACTACATATTGCAAGCGGCTCGAATAAGCGGCCTTCTGTACAAAAGGAAACGCTAGTTGTCTTGTGTGGAACGGTAAAAGCGAGTTATGTGAGCATTCGTTCACATTGTCAATTTGCACATTTGTTGGCAAAATCACGAGAAGACAATAAGACAAAGAAATTCCATTCTCAGCATTGCAGTCATTGAAAGAACGAAAGAATTTGAAATCACAGCGATACCAGTATTTAAGTGGAATTCCATACTGCTAAAAATGTGTGAAAATAATCTTTATATGTAACACTAAACTCACTATATAAGAATGTAAAAAAAACTTATATTTTAATATTACACGAAAATTGAACTTAAATCATCTGTCGAAATCACGTAAATGTATTTTCTGTGACCAAACGGACGGACAGCCGCTATTGCTGTCGTAAACGATTTCCGGTCGATCGCTTCATTGTGTCAGGACGATGCATGGCGCCTTCATATACGAGGAAAGGGAGAGGAAAAGAATTCTTTTTTTAGAAGCCGTATCGTCCCGTCGGTCCTTACCTCTCTCGTGCCTCTTCGATGCACCACGCTTTGCTTGCAGTATTTCTCGGGTTCACTCGATAATACTTCTGTCTTTTCTCCACTGTCTGTTTCCCTCCCTCTCCCTTCTCCTCTCTTCGTTCTCTTTCTTATACACTCACCCACTCACTCACTCACTTACTACTCACTCACTCACTCACTCACTCACTCACTCACTCACTCACTCACTCATTCACTCACTCCCTCACTCACTCATTCTCTCACTCACTCACTCACTCACTCACTCACTCACTCACTCACTCACTCACTCACTATCGCTCTCACTCTCTCTCTCCCTCACTCTTCTTTCACGCCTCTGTTATTCTGTCTCACGCGCACCGTTCGTCCTCTCGTTTGTCTGTTGGCCGTCTCTTGTCCACTGACCTGGTTGCTTTCCCGGCGATTAACACAGCGATATCTTCCGCTCTCTACTCAGCTCGACTTTTCTGTCGCCACTGTCACGAGTCCATAGGGAAAGCAGCGTGTAGATAGTTGCTGGTCGTAGCTCAACTTGTCGAATCAACCAAGAGGTACGATCGTGTCGTTCAACCTAATTAATTCTACACTGATAAAAGTTGACACGAATGTACAATGCTTTCTCTTGTGCTGCGTCTTATTTTGCTTTGACGCAGTTCTTTTATGGCCTGATATTAGTACCAATCGATTGTAATACTACACAACTACTCACTTGCGGTGCACGAAATTCACCACAAGTTTCTAAGACGGCAATAATAACGATGACGCGAATATACGCACTTTTTTTTCCTCTGCCTTCCCGTAATCCCGCCCCGCTAGATTTTCACACTCTCTCGAAAAGACAACGCGACACCACTGGACATCACTGCGCGATTCTACCGTTATCTAGGGCGATGCCGCGCCGCCGCTGTGCCCTCTACCTTGGAACATGCATCTCCGCCATTAGCTTAAAATGTTCAACGAGTGAATAATCCACAACTTTACTTTATCAATGTATTAGAACCATTGTGTAAGAACATCCATAATACTCATCAGACTATGGGAGACTAGATTAAAAATTTAATCAATCAAAGCAAAGTTCACTAAAATTGGCATAGTTTTCTTAATTATGATTGGTTACATTCCAATTTAATGTTAACTTTAAAGATTATCTTTGTATCAGAGTGGTCACATGCAATTTGAAAAAACAAAAAGAAAAAAAATGATGAAAGGTCAATAACAAATAAACAAGCTATTCCGTTCCAATTTTAGTAATTCGGAAATTACATCACATAAGACATTGAGGGAGCTTTTCAGCTACGTACACAGGCGACACTGTACGACACAGTGTTCACTAGTGTGAGTGAGACACACTAATATGCTCTTTCTCACACCAATGGACATTGTGTTACACAGTAGGTCTGTTCTTTTTCCATACTTTGGCTGCACTAGTTCACAGTCTATCTTTTTCCTTTTAATATAGATAAAAAAAGATAGACTGTGAACTAGTGTAGCCAAAGTATGAAAAAAGAACAGACCTAGTGTCGTCTGTGTATGTAGCTGGAAAGCTCCCTGAGTTTTTTTTAGTGACACAAGTCGATAAGGAGGTTGATTGTGGTTGCTTTTCAGCAAGAAGACACAAACGGACAGTGTCATAGAAGAACTGCGTGAAGTTGCTTGTTGGAACATCATTTAATTCTTAGTGAAGTCGATAGATAGCGCTTTATATACAAATTTACTAAATTGTATTTCTAGTCAGCTTATTAGTTTCTGTTTACCACACAATGTACGATCACTAGAGAAGGAAAAATAACGGCCGTAACGGTCGGACGTGCGTAATGACGCAAAAAATATTTTTGGACAATTTCGATATTTTGACACCAGTTTTCTCTTCACTGTGGTGATAACAAGCGAATCGCGTAACACGTTTACCAGAAGTGTGTTACATAAACTGGGAGCTTTCCAGCTACGTACACAGGCGACACTGTGTAACACAATGTCTATTAGTGTGAGAAAGAGCATATCAGTGTGTCTCACTCACACTAATGGACACTGTGTTACACAGTGTCGCCTGTGTANGTAGTTGGAAAGCACCCGTTGAAAAGCACTGTGTCAAACATTGTGTGCACTAGTTCACAGTCTATCTTTTTTCTTTTAATATAAATAAAAAAAGATAGACTGTGAACTAGTGCAGCCAAAGTATGGAAAAAGAACAGATCTAGAGTGTCTCACTCATACTAGTGGACACTGTATTGCATAGTGTCGCCTGTATACGTAGCTGGAAAGCTCCCTTTGTGTCGTCTGTGTCCCTTGCAACCTGGAAATCGATTCTGTATCCATACAATATAGTGAAAATTACAAAAGTGAGCAAATTTACTAGTTGTTGACCAATAAGATCATAGATATTTTAGTAAATTTGCTCACTTTTGTAATTTTCACTACACTGCGTGATACAGAATCGACCCTTTGTGTATCGTAAAATGTAGTGAAAATTAGAAAAGTAAAGGGTCGTCTACAATGGAGAGTTTTAAACCGTAACAGTAAGAAATTGACAAATCACAATCGATTATTCTTCTGTATTTTGTTTGTGATTGGTCAATTTCTTACTATTACGGCCTACAACTCTCCATTGTAGACGGCTCTTAAGCGAATTTACGAACATATTTAACATATCTATGATCTTATTGGTCAATAACTAGTAAAAACCTTTGCTCACTTGTAATTTTCACTAATAGATACACAATTGATTCTAAAAGTTCTTCTGTCTTTGTTTCTCACTAAATATCGAACAAAGACAGAAGAAAATAGTAGAAAATATACAAAAAAGTGGTTTTGCGCAGCGTTTTTCTACAGCCAGTAGAAAAGTTACTCCAACGTCATCCATATTATAAGGCGATTTTTGGCGATCGTATGGTACATGTACCAAAGTGTACCAAACTATACTTTGAAGTCACTCGAACTATAGTTTGGTACACTTTGATATATGTACCATACGATCGCCAAAAATCGCCTATAGTCGTAAAACAAATCGAACGTTTTACACGTAATCATAAACTGCATTTATTTTGTGCAAATATAGAGAAAAAAGTAATGTTATACGTTTCTATACAACATTTATTAGTTTTTATATTGACATCTTTACCGCATGCTTTTTTTATTTTTCTATCATCACCAGATCGTGTAAAAACTGAAAATATTTTTGAAGTTTTTCTTTCTTTTTTTCAAATTATTCTTACTCTTTTCACCGAACACGAAGACATAGGCCTAGTTTCCACCGAAACCCTCAATTCGGTTCCACTCCGGTACAGATCAAATTTAGTGTTACGTTTCCATTGGAAGTAGAGTAGCTTTTCAGCTACGTACACAGACGACACTGTGCAACACAGTGTCCACTAGTGTGAGTGAGATAAACTGATATGCTCTTTCTCACATTAATGAACATTGTGTTATAAACAGTGTTGCCTGAAAAGCTCCCTAAGAGTGAGAAAGATTGATATTTCAGTAGAGCCAACTTAAAACCATAGGCCGCGTTCAGCAGAACTCAGCGCTTAGTAAGCGCTTTACGCTTATTGTCTGTGATTGGTCTCTTCTTGTAAATCCGTTGGAAATATGAAAGTATATTCCAATGACAAGCAATAAGCGTAAAGCGCTTACTAAGCGCTGAGTTCTGCTGAACGCGGCCATAGACTTATATAAGGAGCTTTCCAGCTACGTACACAGGCGACACATAACACAATGTCCATTAGTGTGAGAAAGAGCATATCAGTGTGTCTCACTTACACTAGTGAACACTGTATTGCACAGTGTCGCTTGTGTACGCAGCTGGAAAGCGCCCATAATAGACGGAATATTCGTGTAAGAGGAGCTGAAGCTTTGTTAAAAGAGACAGAAATAATTGTGGAGTAGTTCTCTTCTTTTCTAGCAGTGAGTTGATTGGTGGCCGCGGCAGGCCGAGGGAGTGGCCGAGAGCAACGAAGATAGACGTCCGAGAGTCAGTTGAGAGAGAGTGATAGTGAGAGGTGATAGCATATATGTAATACTCCTATATGGCTAGTTGAGCAAGTTTTCCATAAGCGGGACTTGTTCCAACACTGAAGGATAGAAGATAGATGCTTATTGGCTCTCCAAGAAAGAGTAGGAGTGTTCAATAATTGGTAATGCGCAAGCGTTGCGGAAAAATTTAAACTGATTTATAAAAGGAATCTACTAGTTAGTAATTATTAAGAAAAAGAAATATAGAAAGTGCCTATAAATGGTTTTATTTTCTAATTACAAAAAGTTATACGTAAAATTTTATTAGATAAATATGTTCAAGGCCCAATTAAAAAAAAAATTAATTTATATTGTGCAAGAAAGTGAAAACAATATAGAAAAGAGATGAAATGAAACGTTAAAATTTTTGGCACAATAATAAAAAATATCAGTAATGTAATATATTAATAAAAGCAACATAATTAAGTAAGAAATAGAATACATGCAATATACAAGTGACACCAATATTGTACAAAAAAGAAATGTATTTATTTT